CGTTACAATAATAAAATATATTATAACTGAGATGCTGATATAGGCCACAGAACTAATGATATAAGCCTGTGACAGACAAAGGAGCCATGTGATAATACATTTTACGCCATAAGCATTGACACTGGGTGGGAGACCATGATATGTTTTGCATATGAACATGTGTGTCCTTGTCTCATTTCATCTTTATTATGCTATAAGCATGTACAGTTCATTTAAAACCCACCAGGAAGATTTTATAATATGATGACCATTTCATAGATGACATCTTAGCCTGAAAGTATAAACTGAGATGAGGGCTTATGAAACCATCCACAATAGTTACAGCTAGAATAAAGAAGTGACCAAAAGAACATGAAGCAGTAAGTATGTAAGGATTCCATAGATGTGAGGTCAGTACTTTTGACAAAGAGTGTCATGCCAAAGTGACCCAAACTGAGAAGGGAAGATGGCAACTAGGCAAATATTGATTCCACACCAGGTCTTTATTTGTTTCTTAAATAAGAAAGAAGTTGAAGACAAAAAAGGCAAGTTATTCAGATACACATTCATAGATGCATGAATCTTCCAGCCTCCTCAGCCTCAGCTATTATCATCTCCTCATCCCTCATGCTTGCTTTCCTCAGGGTATTTGGGCAGCATGCCCAAGTTCACCAGCTGGTAACTCCAGCAAGAGGGACATCAAATCCCAGGTTCTCAACAACATTTCATACTGCATTTCTGCTGCTTGCATTCCAGAAAGCTAAGAATTCATGTGTGAACTCATAGCTTTGTGCCTCCTGGTTAGCAGGAATCCAAGAAGAAGCATTTCCAAGTATGCAATTGGTGGTGGTCCTGGCCTAGGATCCAGCCTGGATTCTAGTCCTGAATATCTCTAATTCACTGTGAAGTTGGACCTTCCATGTACTCTTTTGCTCCAGGATTTAGTTTCCTAGTGTTTTGATTATATAACTGAAACAAATATTTTCCAATATCCCTTCCAAATATAACAATCTATGCATTTAAGATTATTATTTAAAAAAAAAACAGACCACATTGTTTCCATTTTCTTTCCTTATTGTCCTTTGAGTACATTGCCTTTTGTAACAAAATACTCAGTAAATCAACTTAAGGGAAAAAGGCTTTCTTTTGTTTACAGGTTCACAGATTTGAGCCACAGTCATCACCTGGCACCATTCATTACTTTCATGCCTGTGGTAAGGCATGAACATTATGGTATAAGGGCATGGTGCTAATTTCACAACTAGATACCACCACTTACTTTGAACTGCCTTCCTACAATCCCATCCAATAATGAATCTATCAATAGAGTAAGCTATTAGTGTGTTAGTTTCATCGTGCGTCAACTGTTAAGTCCATCAGTGACAACCAAGCATTTAAAACCCAAGACTTTGACAGGAGGTACATGTGATAACCAATCTATAACATTTTCTTTCAGAATAAGGACAAGTAGAATCTAGATTAAACAGAAAACCATGAGACCAAGCTCCAAATGTCTGGTTTGCCATGTTCAGAATATCTGTGTACATTGCAAATAAAGGTAACTTGGATGAGGCCAATAGATCCTGGTAATTAGATCATTCCAAATCTGAAACTAGTCCCATAAGCTCATTTCCAAATATAGAGAGTTGTCCAAGGATAGCACATTGTCATAATCTTCCACAGGCACATGGGTTTTATTTATTTATTTATTTATTTATTTTTTGGTTTTTTGAGACAGGGTTTCTCTGTGTAGCTTTGCGCCTTTCCTGGGACTCACTTGGTAGCCCAGGCTGGCCTCGAACTCACAGAGATCCACCTGGCTCTGCCTCCCGAGTGCTGGGATTAAAGGCGTGCGCCACCACCGCCCGGCGGCACATGGGTTTTAAACACAGAGAAAACCATGCCTAAGGTCCTCATCTTACAAATGAGATCCATGAGACTCAAAAGGGTCTACTTAGTGAAATTTGAATCCCTGTTCCAGGACCCTGACTGGTGATTTTTTTATATTATATTATTTCATTGAGGAACAAGATTGTTGAAAAAAAGACTAAACTTGGAATTGAAACTTTGGATTTGAGTCCTGGTTACTGTTATTTTTGAATTACCTATTCTTTATCACATGTGAAATAGTGCATGGAATATTTGTATGGAAGTACAAATAACTAAAACTTATACATAGTGAAGCCAGTGATAAATGCTGTCACATCTTACTCCTCAGGAGAGTGAATTAGATTTGTTTTAAGCAACTCATGTGAACATATTATATAAAATGAGTGATATGGAAATAGAATTGCTTTATCTTTCAATATCAAAATAAAGACCTTTCAGATAAGCTTGCAATAGATGACAGACACTATTACTTTCCATCTAGTGGACAATTTGTGGCACTATTTATGTTCTTAAACTACAAGCACCTCTGAATCCAGAATGGAAGTCCTGGATATACACATTCATTGGGGCTTGAAAACAAATCTATTCTACCTAGACTACCAGAAAATACACTACATATATAGTAAATATCCTGAAATAAACAGCCTACATGACAGCTATTACCTCTGAATATATTCAACTGAGCCAGCTATCTCCTGAAAATGTCCTAGAAATATGAAGGCTGCCTAAAATACTGCTAAGTATTTCACAGAAATCAAACTAAACTACATTGATTCTACAGAAAAGTCATACTCCTGTAATGTTTCTGAAAAACAATTATGAAAATATTTACTAATTAATATTGAATTAGGTAGAAAGGGAAAATTAAACACTCTTGATGGCTGAATGACAAGCACTGGTGGATATCTGAATGCTAAGCAATGGTATATCTGAATGCTAAGCACTGGTAGATATCTGAATGCTAAGCACTGGTAGATATCTGAATGCTAAGCACTGGTAGATATCTGAATACTAAGCACTGGTATGTATCTGAATGCTAAGCACTGGTAGCTATCTGAATGCTAAGCACTGGTAGATATCTGAATGCTAAACACTGGTAGATATCTGAATGCTAAACACTGGTAGGTATCTGAATGCTAAGTACTGGTAGGTATCTGAATGCTAAGCACTGGTAGATATCTGAATGCTAAGCACTGGTAGATATCTGAATGCTAAACACTGGTAGATATCTGAATGCTAAACACTGGTAGGTATCCAATGGGGATTACTTTCCTTAAGTAATTAATTTCCATTTAACCCTATTATTATCCCCATTTCAGACAAGACATAAAGTACCGCCTAAGTCATTGCTTAAAAATTTTAGAGTCAAGTTCAGGTTCATTTTACTATTGCATATAATCATCCCATTAGAAAACACACAATCTGACAGGCACTGTAGGAAATATCTTACTAAAGAGTCCAGTCTAAAAGCCACAGTTATAGATGCAAACCCTCAGAACAGCTTCTAGGAATTCAGGAGTAAATTTGGGTAATTAGATTGTTTTTCTTCTTTTACAATAAAAAGTTAATCACACATTGATGTTAAAAGAACAGTTTTAAAAAAAAAAACTTTTTTTTTTACAAATAGCATACCTAAGATTAAAATACAAATTTTCTGAGCCCTTTGCTTATCTCAGCAAATTCTGTCTCAAGAGAATCTAAACCAGAATTCAGATACCTGGATAGTAATAATAGATTTTTTTTCATCTATTACAACAAAACATCATAGACTGGGGTTGGAGAAGCTCAACGCCAAGGCACTGGCAATATCTGATGAGAGTCGTTTTCTCTTTCCTGGATGGTAGCACCCTCTCACCCCATGCGGTGGAAGAGGCTAGCTAGCTCTCTGAGGTTTCTTTCATGAGGATACTGGATTACCTTCTGTGGATGTGACAGAATACCCTGACAAAAAGCAGCTAAGGAAAAAGTTACATTTTGTCTTACCATTCCAGAGGGGACACAGTCCATCATGGAGCAGAAGGCATGACAACAGACAGGAAAACATCCTCAAGTACAGGAATCTGCCTCATCACATTTGTCTTCATCCAAGTACAGGAAGCAGAGATAGAGCAAGAACAAGAAGTGGAGCCAAGCTATAAACCCTCAAAGCCTGGCCCCAGTGACATACCTCCTCCAGCAGGCTCCGCCTCCTAAAGGTTCCATAACCTTCTGAGACAGCACCATCAACTGGGGACCAAGCATCCAACTACATGAGCTTACCCAAAACACTTTTTCATTCAAGCCAGCACAGACACTAATTCCATTCATGAAGGCTCCTCATGAGCAATTTAATTACCTCCCAAAAGTCCCAAAGCCTAATGCCAACACCTTCGAATTAGGATTTCAATGTATGACTTTTTTGGGGGACACAAATATTCACACTACATATCTCCAAAAAAAGAAAGCTCCTTACTTATTGAGAAAGACTAAAACATTTCCAATGTATCAAACCCAGAATGGAACCCTCAAATAAGCTGATATCATGATGAGAAGAAGAAAGAAATAATTATCTGTTGTTTTCTAATTTCCCATCTATAAAATATGTATTAGCCATTTGATGCAAACACCTCAGATCAAAAAAAAAGGAAAAACAACTGTATTCACTGGGCCATTAAGGTTTTGGGTTGTTGTTGTTTATTATAATAATGATACTTTGGGAACTGATTTTCTTTAAATACACACACACACACACACACACACACACACACACACACACACACAGAAAATCCTTAAAGGAAAAGTTGTGTGTGCAAAGATATTCACTGTAATGCCATTTAAGCAGTCAAACACTGAAAAACTTACAAATCCAACAGTAGGGAAATTGTTAAATGAACTGTAATATACCAATCAGATAGTATTTCTATAATTTTTAAGGTAAAATAATTTTAAGCACTAGATATATTAATCTATAAAGCTTATTGTAAATTTTTCTAAATTCCATGTCTTGCAAAAATAATATGTAAAAAAGTCTGGAAAGAACATTAAGGTGATAATTGTCAATATAAACAGGTGGCAGAATTATAGACAAGCTTTTGTGCTCCTTTTTAATTTCTAGGGGTTTTTTTATAAATTATTTTAAGAAGAGCTATGTAGTACTCACTTCAGCGGCACATTTACAAAAATTGGAATGATACTGAGAAGATTAGCATGGCCCATGCCCAAGGATGACACAAAAATTCATGAAGTGTTACATATTTTTATAAAACAATTACATACTTAAAAGTGAAAATAGAATCAATAAAGAAAACTGAGTGAAATCTGGAAATGAAAAATTTAGAAGATCAAACTGGAACCTCAGAGGCAAGCCTTTACCTACAGAATACAAGAGATGGAAGAGAAAAATCTCAGGCATTGATGACAAGGTAGAAGAAATGAATACCTCAGTCAAAGAAAATGTTAAACCTTCCTTTTTAAATTTCAGGAAATCAAGGACAATATGAAAACACAAAATCTACAAACAATAGGTGTTATGATATGGCTCGTGAGAGGCCTTGGTGGGTCGGGCCAAGGTGCCTCGGTGGGTAAGGGAGACACGCCATGCAGACACGGCAGTGGGCTGCGGTGTGGAGCGGTGGAAAGTCACTCACACCATGTAGACACATGTCTATGTGGAAAGTTTATTTGGGGGCAAGGGGAGAGGGAATAGAGGGAGGGAGAAATGAGGGAGAAAAGAGAGGGAGAAAGGAGAGAGAGAGAGGGTATAGAGAGAAAGAGGGAGGGAGAGGAAGAGTTTTCTTTTAAAGGGGACTTTATATAAGATGATGTCAGGACCATGGGCGGGGCCTAACAATAGGAATAGAAGAAAGAGAAAATACCACTCAGGTCAAAGGCACAGAAAATATTTTCAACAGAATCATAGAAGAAAATTTAGTTAACTTAAAGAAGGAGATTGTGGAGGCCCAAATTACTCAAGGTCAGAGAATCTGAGCTTGTTTTACCCAGCAGGGCTGTATAAGGAGATGATTTGACCACGGGTGTGGTTCCCAGGTGTTTGGAAGGGTCTACACTTGGCTTTGTAGTATGCTTCGATCTTGCAAGGGGGGGGGTCTTTTGCTCCTCTCCTTAGCATGTTACAAAAAGCCCTTTTGAATAAAGGACGAGGCTATTGGGTATTGATCCAGGCCCTCCCAAAGCTATCCTGTGTTTCTGTCTTTCTTTGCATCATCTAGGTTCTCTCTTTCTATCTGATATTTCCTCATTCCTCTCTCCTCCACCTAAGAGCCCTTCAAAAGGTGGGAGCTGGACTCCCACAAGAGATGCCTGTTGTCTCAGTTAGGGTTTCTATTGCTGCAATAAAACACCACAACCAAAAAAGGAAGTTGGGGGAGAAAGGGTTTATTTGGCTCATGTTTCCACATTACAGTTTATCATCAAAGAAAGTCTGGACACTCAAACACATCAGGAACCTGGAGGCAGGGGCTGACACAGAGGCCATGGAGGAGTGCTGTTTACTGGTTTGCTCCCCATAGCTTGCTCACTTTCTTATAGAACCCATAACCACCAGCCCAGGGATGGTCCTACACACAATAGGCTAGACCCTCCCCACTCAATCACTAATTAAGAAAATGCCTTATGGCCAGATCTTATGGATGCATTTTCTCAATTGAGGTTCTCTCCTTTCTAGTAATTTTAGCTTGTTTCAAGTTGCCATTAAAAAAAAATAAAAATAAAAACTAGCCAACACATCTGTCAAGGCACAAAAAGTATACAGAACAGACAAACAGACTAGACAAGAAAAGAAAATCCCCTCAACACCTAATAATCCAAATGCTAAATGTTCAGAAAAAAGAAGGAGTATTTAAAACTGCAAGGAGGAAAAGCAAGTAACATATAAAGGCAGACCTATTAGACTTACACCTGACTCGATAGAGACCCTGAAAGCCAGAAAGGTCAAAACATATGTGTTGCAGACAAGAGATGCCAACGCAGAATACTATACTCAGAAAAACTTTCAAGCACAATATTGAGATAATAAGACATTCCATGATAAAAGCAAATGTAAGCAGTATTTATCTACAAATCCAGGCCTACTCAAGGTGCTAGAAGGAAAACTTCAACCTGATGAAAGTAACCATGCCCAAGAAAACAAGGAATACATAATACCAGACCAGCAAATCAAAAGAAGGAGGAAAACAAACCACCACAATGAAATAACATGAACCAGCAATCGCTGTTCATTAATATCTCTTAACACCAATGGTCTCAGTTCCCCAATAAAAGGCACAGACTAACATAATGGAGGTGAAAACAGGATCCATCTTTCTGCTGTATCCAAAAGCACATATTAACATAGACATCACCTCAGGGTAAAAGGATGGAAAAACATATTCCAAGCAAATGGACCTAAGAAGCGAGCAGGTCTTATGTTTTTATGGGATTCCTGAGTGAGCAAATCAGTGGTCTCTGTGCCTATATCTGCTTCTCATGCCTTTTTTTTATTCTTTTCCTTCTATTTGTTCTGTCCTATTCCTATGTGTTTGTTTTGTCTTATATTATTTTATTTTATCTTACTATTATCCCTTAGGTGCCTGTTTGTTTGCCAACAAGAGATAGAAAGGGGTTGCTCTGAATAGGAGGAGACATGGGGAGGACCTGGGAGGAGTAAAGAGAGGGGAAACATAAGCAGGATATAGTGTATAAAAACAATACCATTTTCAGTAAAAGAAAAAAATTTAAAAAGAGCCTTGCATTACTCTACACTGTTTTCTTTTATCCAAATAGCAGAAACAGACATTTACAATCTCCTTGGAGAACCCATGATTCTTTCTAATCCACTGTGTGGAAGTTCTTGTAATTGATCTTTGTCGTTCAATTCAGTGTCCCTGCATTTACAGATCTGCTTTCATCCATTGTAATGTAGATAAACGAGGCATGAGTTCACCTATTGACACTATCTTGACACCTATGCACATCAGCACTTTGGTTATTTGATTAACATGTCAGCTGGGTTTGAGAAAACTAAGAACTTGCTATAAAAAGTGATTTCCTCTTCTAATTTTCACAGACATACAGAACACTGGGCTCAGAATTAAGAGGCCAAGAATATATTCAAGTCAAGTTCTATATCCCACTAGCTATATGAATCATTTGGTCCCTGTGAGCCTAGTTGTTCTCAACAGATGAAGTAGAAAGGTCAGACTCACATACCTCAAACAGCTAGGGCATGGATTTTCTGAGAGGCAAATATGTCCTTGCAGTTTCAGGCTTGGGTACCAAAGCCAAGAATAGCTTTTCAGGTGTTTAAAAGTAATTTTTGAAAAACTGATATTTACTCAACATTGTACCAAGCACTGCAGTTAGCATTTTATATGTGTCAGTCATCTACATAAATTACATATAAAGCATGCACTGTTACAAATGCTGGGGCATTCTAAGTCTAGAGAATACCTAAGAGGCAACATAATTGTCTGACCTTGGAGGGATAACATAACTGAGGGCCAAGAAAAATATGAATCAGATAATCTTATGTTATATATATCTTAATGTGAAATAGAGATATCCTTCACAGGCTCATGTTTTGACTACATATGGTATCATTTTGAGAGGCTGTGGGACATTCAGTAGGTAAGGCCTAGGTGATGAAAGGTCATAGGTTCCAGTCTTACTCCCTGCTTCCTGGTCTTCTGTGCTAGGAACAGATCCTCCCACATTCTGGCCCAGCCATGCCTTTCCTGTCATGATGGGCTGAAATTCTCTGAATGAACACAAACTACTCCAGAAAAAAAAAAAAAGATACTAAAAGTAGTGTCACTGTTTTGACAAAATTTAATCAAGTGGTTCTTAGGCCTTTGAAAATTTTTATAGTAGAAATTTGGCAAAGTTTGTAGAGACTTATAGAATCCTTACAATTCTATAGGCAGAACTCAACAGGGATAGTGTTAGAAGTTTTGAAGACAAAAATACCCATAGAATTGCAGACAGTAAACAGGACTCATGAGGTTTTCTATGGGAGCAAGCACACTATTGGGAAAAGGAGCAGAGACCCATTTAAAACTGCAGGGAAAGATTATATGTACTAAACAGTTATGATCAGCACAAGAGTAAGACAATAGAACGGGAGCCCTGGGGACACTTCATGAATTGTCTAGTCCCTTCCCATCATAGACTCTGGGGTGTCCATCTACAGATACATTGGAACCACTTTCCTTTAGTAAAGGGGTAGAGAGGTCAGACCTAAGGGAGGATTTCCCCAGTTCAATAACCGCTGGATTTCAGGAGCTACTGTAGCCACAGTATAACTGAAGTTCAACTACTACTCAACCTAGTTAAACAACTTGGTGACATTCACATTGTTGTGTGACAAAACTTTCTGAGGAGATGCAACACACACATCTACGCACCCCAGACAGAGATTGAAGGGACACTAGCCCACTGGAGCTCTCCCCCATTCCTTCTGCCATGCTAAAAACCATTAGATTACATTCCTAAAGCTAGCCACTAAAGTCTATTCCCTTATTTAGCCACTTCTTCTTCCTAAGGGTGAAAAACAAAGTCCAGAAATCAAAAGCCCACTTTGGTTCACCAAATTAATATACCCAATTAAAAATACACACCTCAGCCGGGCGGTGGTGGCACACACCTTTAATTCCAGCACTAGGGAGGCAGAGCCAGGCAGATCTCTGTGAGTTCAAGGCCAGCCTGGCTACCAAGTGAGTTCCAGGAGAGGCGCAAAACTACACAGAGAAACCCTGTCTCGAAAAACCAAAAAAAAAAAAAAAAAAAAAAGTACACACCTCGTCTTAACACAGGGTTTCCCCCTTTACCTTTATAAATCACTATTTGCTTATGTGCCACATCTATCTCTTCCCTATCCAGAGGGAGTCCTTTGTCCCTCAGGACAAATATCCCTGCTCCTTTCCCTTGTCCCCTTCCCCTTCTCCCTGGTCCCCTAACTCCTTTACTACCGCATCCTAGCCCAGTCTAACACAGACTTCCCCTTTTCTTCACCTTAAAAATTAGATCTTCGCCGGGCGGTGGTGGCGCACGCCTTTAATCCCAGCACTCGGGAGGCAGAGCCAGGCGGATCTCTGTGAGTTCAAGGCCAGCCTGGGCTACCGAGTGAGTTCCAGGAAAGGTGCAAAGCTACACAGAGAAACCCTGTCTCGAAAAAAAAAAAAAAAATTAGACCTTCAAGGTCATCTGCTGCTGTTTTCTGCCTGGGTCAGAAAGTTAAAGAGCCTATGAAAACAGGTGTTTGGG